TGATGCTTTGGTTAGCTCTTGCAACTGACCGTGGATGCACACTACTTTTCAAGGTGCATTGTGGGAACTTTTGAGTCCTCTACTGTTTCATCCACTAGACATTCAGACACTCATAAAATGGTATAACGACTATATAGTGCTCTCAATATAAGGGTTAGGATGGACGTTCAGAGACAGCCCTGGAGTTGTGCATAAAACCCATTAAAGGTTGTAACGAGAGTGAACAAGCGTGAGTCTGGCTTAGGACATAAACCTCTAGCAATTTCCTTTAACTGATTCCTACCCCAAATTACAAAAATACCAAAGAAAAGCATAGCAAAATGGAGTTAGATGCTGTTCTTAAATCCTTTGGAGTAGGCGTAATAACCTGTCTTTTTAAAGGTTCATTTTTGAAGTTTTTAGTTGAGCAATCCAATTTGTCATAGTGGTGCCTAATAAAAGATACTAGTAATTTATTTTCACTCTTTTTTGTTTTCTTTCTTTAATTGTCATTGAGTTGCAGAATGATGCAAGTTGATACTGTCTAAAGAATAAAGTAACCAAAAAAGACAAATCTTTAAAAAGAAAGCATTTATTTTACACAGTACAGTATTTCACAGTTTTAAAAACTTTAAAAAAAAAATTCCAATTTTTTTTTTACATTTTCACAAAATATTTTTTTGGCTTCTTACAGTATTGGAACAAAGTTCACTTCATATAACAAAGCCTTTGGATAAGAGAGAAGCAACAATAAAAAAAATATCCGAGCACAAGGAGGCAGATTCAGGCTAATGGTGGAAAACCAAGTGACAGTAACCAGAAGGTAAAAGCAAGTTCGATGTCCAGAGACCAGAATCCAGAAGAATATCGGACAATGACAAGCCAGGGAAATATACTGGAGATCAGGCAGAGGAGAAACACTAGATATTTACTCATATGGTGACTTTCTATAATCTGGCAAATCTTCACAACCAGAGACCATACATATGTATAGATGGATGGATGGATAATAATGATGACTGAACTTTATTAATCTCACACTGTAGAAATTTACCTCTGCATTTGACCCATTCCCTTGGGGTGGGCTGCCTCTGTGCCAGGGGAGCAGTGTGGGGTTAAGGGTCTTCCACAGGGACCATAGTTTCCCCAATAGGCCAACACTCCCCCTGTTGGATGGATGGATGGATGGATGGATGGATGGATGGATGGATGGATGGATGGATGGATGGATGGATGGTTGGATGGATGGATGGATGGAT